TCACAAGGTCTTATATGACATTGTATCTCATTTTATAGTTGAGGATTACCCTGAGAAACAAGCACAATAAAGCATTTTAGATCACGAAAAGATAATACTATGAATAGTGAAGGAGTACATAGTGTAGAATATGGAGATAAAGTCAAAGAAAAATCAATAAAACAATCAAATTTGGAAAGGATGGTGGCAATACAGTAAATTGTCAGCCTACCAAAACATTGCCAAAGAGAGGGTTACAAAAGAATAAGTCTCATTGAAGTGTTTCTTTTGGAATATTAGGTCAATAAAGATTCAAAAAACATTTCACAGAATTCAAATGCTGAATAGAGCAGATAAATTCAAGTTTCTTGCTTTAATATAACCTTTTAAAAATTCTAGTCACATCAGCAAATATATAAGGAGATGTGGGATGGATTTTTCCAAAGCTAATTGTAGTGGAATTTTTTTTTGAAAGGAAGGTAACTAAATGGATATGTAGTGGATTTATTTAAATAAATTACACTTAATCTTAATGATACTCATTTTAAACAAAGCTTCCTATATTGCTGTAGTTTATGCCAAATGTGATAGCTTGTACAGATTGCACTTGTGGGAGGATCTATATCGATTGTCCAATTCCTACATTTTGACATGGATAATTGGTGGGGATTTTAACAAGGTATTGAATGACGACGAGAAGATTGATGGGGTCATGTGCAACCAGGTGATACTGAAAAATTTACCAATTGCATTGGATTTTGCACAAAGGTAATTTACAAAGGTAGCCAATTTATTTTGTGGTAAAGTAAAGCAGTGGATGATTACATTTTTGAAAGGTCTAACATAATCATAGAAAATTTATACATGCAAAATTTGTTTAATCAACTGAAAGTCGATCATCTTTCAAGAAGTGGACCTAGACATGCCCTTGTACTTCTATCTTGTGTAGAAAATTTGGTAAATATCATTAAAACCTTAATATTCTTGAATTTTTGGGTAAAACGTGAATCATTCAAGCGAGTGGTTGCTCAAACTTGGTTAGGTTCTCAACTTTAGAACATTTTCTTTGATTTTATGACAAAATTTAGAAAAAAAGTGAAATTTGTCTAAAGTCATGGAGGAGTGAGGTGCTTGGTGATGTTTTCAAACAATTAATTATCAGGGAAGACACTGTCAAATCCAGTGGGAATAGAGAAGTAATGAAGAAGGCACAATCAAGATTTAAGAAATATCTACACTATGAGGAGAAGTACTTGAACAAAAAAGTTGAAACTATGTCGTTCGAAAAAGCAGTCAAAAATACTAGAATCCTTTACAGTCGAGTGAAGAGAAAAAGGAAAAGATGAATTTGACAGATAAAGAACAGATTTTTGGTGAAGCTGTTATGTTTTATTTAACACGGTTTACCCAAGAAAAGGAGCTACAGAGTTTTCTCTTCGAAACCACATTCAACAAATTCCAATCAAAGAGGATAATTTTTCTCTTAACATTATTCCTACACAGGAAAAGGCAAAAAATATTGTATTTAGTCTTTGCGGGGATAGTACAAGTGATCCAGATGGTTTTACATGTCTTTCTAACAGTATTACTAATACTAACCTTGTGTCCCTAGCTTAAAAAGTAATCCATACTCTTTCTTTGATCTAAGGACTAAATGATTGAGTAATTTCATCAATAAAGTATTTCTAGGGTGGTGCATGAAAGATTGGAAATGGTAATCACAAGGTCTCTCCTTCCCATCTAATAGTGATTTGTAAAAGGAAGGAAAATTATTGTGAATATTTTGCTTACTCTTGAAAATTGCAATTAATGTCACCAAAAAGGGAAAATCAACCAATATTATTTTAAGCTTGATATGATCAAAGCTTATCACAGGGTATCGTGGTTTATTTAGATGAAAGTCTTAAGGAAAATGGGATTCTCTGATAGGTTTGTTGATATCATCTGGAGGATTATAGCTAATAGTTGGACCTTTATGTTGGTTAATGGGTAGACTAAAGTCCTCTTTCACTCTACCACGGATTAAAACTGGGGGACCCTTTATCTCATGCTTTATTTATTCTCATTGCCGATGTTTTGCCTAGGGATTTAAATTCCTTATTTGATGATAGACAATATATTGGTTATGATGTTCCTAAATGGAGTGCAAATCTTAATAACCTGGCTTATGCAAATGACATAATTATTTTTTCTGTCGCACAAGAAAAATTCTTTCAAATAATTATGAAGGTATTGGACATATATGACTCTCTATCGCGGCAGTTAATCAACAAAGAAAAAAGTTATTGGTACATGCATTAGAGTACTAGTGCACAACTAGGAGGTTTAGTTGATAGATGTGCTAGTATATGGACAATTTCCAATCAATGATTTAGTTTTTCCTATCATTCATGCTAATAAGAAAAAGAGTGATTACAATGAACTCATCAAGAGGTGAATAATAAGCTCCAAATATGGAAAGGAAAGATGTTATCATTTTGTAGTAAATATATGGTAGAAAAGTATTAGGATATGCCAACAATAACTACGAAAATACGTAATATTGATAAAATAAACATGCCTTTCTTGAGGATGATACATCTATAAAATTGATTAATTGCGGCCATAAGTTTTAATCACACAGTTTTCTATTGAAACAGAGGATAATTTTCTTTGTTATAGATTTTCCTGAAGTGACTTCAAAATACGTAGTTACTATGCCACCTGGTGAGAGTTTAAGGTGTACAATGATAATAGTCTTGGGCAAAACTATGGGTGAATCTCTTTTCTATTCTAACTACTTCTATGTGAGTTTTTCATATGTACGGGTAACATTTACTAATTGGTAACTGTTTTATTTTCTAATTTCTACTTTTAATGTGTGGTATTTTTCTCTTAGAGGCTTAGTTTATCAACGGATACGAGCAAATTAATATGTAATAGTGATTAGTTATATGCTAATTTTAGCACTAGTATATTAGAAAATTAGGTTCAAATCAAGAACCTTGATTTTCTCATTTGATGTGTGATATTAGATTCTATGAGGATGATTCTATGGAAAATTAACAATAGGGAAAATATTTCATTCTACTTGACTACTATGTTATGGTATTTTTTTTGGGCAACTGAGGGCTTGAATTTAAGCTCATAGATTTACAAATCTACTATCAGAAAGCTATAATTCAAGAAATCTGGGGTAAGGAACAAATATCTTCATAGTAGCTTATCATACATAAGAAAGCTCTAGATTTGCAAGTAAAGAACACAAAAATCAAAGTTGAATGAGTGAGAAAGTCACCTGGAGTTAACATAACTAGTGAATCTCCGAAGGAACCATCTGGTCTTGTCAACTCTACGGATGATTGTCGTCGATCATGAGGTCACGATAAGGTCGACTAATGAAATTTCACTTAACCTAGTTGTCTTCTTTCAATACAATCGTTTTTTTTGTTTTTTAATTTGCTTTTATTAAAAAAATTCAATTATTTGGGATGGGCCATCTAAGGCTTAGTCCATATTGAATAATTTCTTTGTATATATGAGGCCCGCGAGCTTCACCCCTTCAATTAAAAAATGAAAAAAAACAATTTACGATGCTGATTAAGAAATACTCATTGAAAATATTTTATTCATTATTCATTATTAGTAACCCCTTTTTGAGTTTATTCAAATAACACCAAAAATTGCCTTTTCTAGTTAAAAAGGTAGTTATATATATGATGTCATAGACGATATAAGTTTAGTGTATGTACCCCCTTGTAAGTGGGCCCATAATTAAAGAGTGTTGCCACACATCCTAGCCTTGCATAATAGGGTTAACAAAATGAACATTTCTAACACGCGATTTTCCTAGTATATGCTTACAAGATATTTGGGTAATTAAAAAAATCTCATTTTAGTTCCCATTTGGATTGTCTTATTTTAGGTGTTTTTAAGCCAAAATAGCTTTTAAGTAGTTTTGAAGGGTTAGGGCAAAAATAACAAGTGCTTCTAAGCACTTATATTTAAAGCCAAAATAAAAAAAATAAGTCAAAAGCCATAATTTAGAATACTAACTTATGGCTTTTGCCTTATAAGTCATAAACAAAAAGTCAAACAAAACAGGCCCTTAGTCCTTCCTTCGTCAACTTTTCTGCAACCATGATTTGTTTTGTTTCTTGTAGATGTGCATCAATGCTAGTGTGCCAAGCATCTGTTTTAATGACATGCACTCTAAAATTAAGTTAGTGCAAGATATATAATCTTTGTCTATGGAGTTAGCGATGTTTGAAGAGTCAATGTTGATGACTAAGAGGGATAAGTTGTGATCTACTCCAAGTTTAAGGCCCATTTTTAGGGTCTGTAGTTCTACCATGGCCACAATTGTTTTTGGGCTTTAGTTGCTGAAATCTAGGACTTAATTTCCATAATGATCTCTAAAACATCTCCAATTTCTCCCATACCAAGATGTTCTTTACCACCCTATTGATGTTGAGTTGATAGGCCCCCCTATCAGGGGGTCCCCATTAAACATGGATGGTGCTCTTCTTAGGAGTGGATTTCTTTTTCTATACCACAACTTAGTGATATTCGATGCTTTTACTGATAGTTTTGTCGTTGTCGATATAGTGTGTTACCTTGTTAAACATTATACTGTTCCTTGTAAGACAAATATTCCATAAGAAAAATGGTGAAAGGGTTTTCCAATTGATGTTTTTGTTGAAAGTCTTATTCCTCACGTGGCTCCAAAAGAGGATCCAGTTAATACTGTTTACATTTATGGCCTTTATATTCTTATTGTCTCAAATAATGTAGTGCCAAAAAGTAGTATCATTAGGGCATTGATAGAAGATGTGGTTGATATCTTATTTTGAGGATCTGTAACAGTGGAAGTGTGGGTTCACATTGAGACCTTTTGGTGGCGGGATTGACTGGTAGGAAGTATCCTATGTTAGAAGAGCCAAAAAGGTTTTAGTTTGTCTTGGGATTTTTGCAGTCAAGATCCAGAACAATAGGGTCCCTAATATTTGGGTCTAGCTCAAACTATTGTTGGTGATGATTTCATAAGCACTAACAACAGAGAAAATCTCATCGGTAATAAGGCTTCAAAATAGGGAGTCTTTTTTGGGGCTATTGCATGGGATGTGGTAGTCACTAATGGAAGCTTTGTGATCCTCGCTAAGATTAAAATAGAGGATTTCAAAATTCCACTTTCCATTACGATCTTAGGCATATTTATGCGCTTAATAACCAGGTTATTCCATATATCTAGGTAAGTTTGAGAGAAAATTCCTTATCGGTAGTACAATTTTTTAGTCCAATTATAATTTATCCTTTAACCAATATGATTAGATGCCACAGGGTGAAAACCATGGAAAAGGAGTGTAAAATGACACCATGCATGGGGTTGGAGAAAAATACTCAAAATTGCTAAGGAGAAATGGCTAGGAAGCTGGAATAATACATTGTGAAGGAGCACCTCCCCGATGCGAAGCTGAATACAGCATGTGGAAAACTAATTTGACAAACTAGTGGAATGTGTGATGGACACGCATCGCGGTGTTGGCTCATGATATTTGAAATTTTAAGGGTGTAGACCTGGACCCTAGATTTGCATCACTTGTTTTACTTCACACTATAGCCAAATTATTTTATGGTTATTCAACTTCTAGAAAATGGTAAAACATGATTTGGGTGATTTTGCTGACATTCCCTAGGATTTTCTTCTACTTTTTTGTATTGGTAAACACTTGTACGATCTTTGAACATTATTTGATGATGTTACATACTATAAGTAGCGAAATTCCCTTATTCTAGGGTTGTATTTACGATTAATGGCTTAATGGTGTTTATTTCTAGCATGAGATGTGTTTTCTTATGATTTATGGTTGCATTCTTGTTTAACTATTTTATTGACTAATGAACATTAAAATAAACTTATAGTCCACTCTTGAACTTGGAAGACGAATAGAGAGATAAACCACATAATGTGGAAAGCATGGTCATTATAGGGTAAAACTTAGAGTGTTTAGTATATAGGATAGGATTATATGTATATGTGGCATTCGATTAATGTGAAAGATAATAGTTTAATGCTCCACTATTGTTTCATGCCTATCCCTACTCAATGATGTAGTTAGGCTATCAATGGTGGTAAGTAATAAGAGGTTAACATATCGAATGTTAGGATAAGTTATTATTACGTTACAAATCGGTGTATGGTAGAACCCTGGAATATTTCCCTAATTGTGTGATTTCTTCATTTTCAATTGTTTTAATTGTAGTAAATAAAATTTTGAAATTGTTCAATTTAGTTGATATAAATAAATTCCTAAAATCATATGTCGCATAAATAATTTTATTTTAGTTTCAATAAATTTAGTGTTTGTTTATTTGAAGTCCTTTGCAACAAGTTTTTGGCACCAGTGCTAAGGACTTTAAAATTAGCAGACATTTAATTTTTGATTTTCTAAATTATCTGTAGAAGTTTGGACAACTTGATCTTGAGTATTCATTTTACAGGTTGTATCAAGATTTCACTGTGCAGGACGACCCAGACTTGGTAGAGCATCTAGGTGAACCGGTGAGATTTGTTCGTTATTGGAGAAGGTAAAAAAAATCACGTACAATGTTCCTATTGTCGATTATGAACATGTAACCGTAGAAGAAATGGAGGATCAAGACACACCTACAATAGAAATGACAGCAAGAGACTTTGCAATCCCACGCACCACTAATGTTACTTTAAGTAGTCACAAACCTGTAGTTGGTAGGTAGTATGAATTAAGTGAAAACATGATGCAACTATTGTACACAATTGGACAGTTCATTGATGTATTTCATGAGGACCGACAAGTACATATTCAAAAATTCCTTGAGATCAGTGACACGTTTATTTGCTTGGGGAAGAAAAAATATGGTTGAACTCTGACCCTACAAATTTCATAAATTCTTGGGATGATCTTGCTCGAAAGTTCTTTATAAGGTGTTTCCATCTGGAAAACAGTGAAGCTGAGAAGCGACATATTAAGCTTATGAAAAAAAGGAGAAGAAAATTTGCACAAACTTGGGCCAGGTTTAAGTCCTGTTTAAAAGTTTTCCACATTATTAACAAGCTAATGAAGTGTTGGTCCACAGATTTATTGAAGGGTCAAAACCAAACACAAAATTTTACTCAATTCTATTGCAGATTGACAAGATTTGGAGAAGACATATTATGAGTTGTTAAAAAAAAATCACAAGGTAATCCCGAGTGGAATGGAGTAGGATCTATACTGGTCGTACAAAAGGATGTTCGAGTGTTAGAAGTGGATGTAGTGACAACCTTAACTGCACAAATTGCAGCAATGCGAAATATGATTAGTACACACTTCAACAACATGTCACTAGCATAACAGCAAGCTCCAGTTAATATGGTGTAGCAACTACCAACATGTTTTGAAGTATGTGGAGATAGAGATAACATTGCTATGTTATGTGGAGCAAACTCATAATCTGTTCATTTTGTAGGTAATGCCCAGCAAGGAGGAAATCACCAAAATTATGGAAACACCTAAAATCCAAGTTGGCGGAACCACCAAATTTTTTCATGGTGTGGTAATCAAAACAAGCACCAAGGTCAGAACCAATACATCACAAGGTGGTGGGCAACATTACAATCAACAAAGCCATGGAAACCAACAAGGTCATGGTAATTGTCAATCAAGCTGATTCAACTGTGGAGGACCGATAAACAAATGATGGCTTACACAGCTAAGCTTGCAGCAAATGTCTGAAACAATCAACTAGTGACTTGGAATTTAGGGAAGCAGTTTGGGTAGTTTACTAGTGCCCAAAATTCTTGACCGTAAGTGGGTTTGTATGGAGATATTGATCCACACCCAAAATAGGTAAATGTTGTGAGTACCCGTAGTGGGAGTCCATTGGAGGAGCTAACACCAAAGACAAAATTTGCTAAAGAAAATGTAAAACAGGTAGATGAATTTGGACAAGTCAGCCAACGGTAGATGAGGAACCAAAAGAAAAACCACCTCCTACATTCACACATAAGTTCAAAAAGAAGGAGGAGGAGGGATGTTTTGTTAAGTTTATTGTATTACTTACACAAGTACATACTAAATTTTATTTGACTGATGTGTTGCATGTACTCCTAATTATGCCAAATATGTTAAATATGTGGTGGACAACAAGGGTAGATTGATGGAGTATGCAATAGTGGCACTTAAGTGCTATTCTAGGATATAGAATAGGCTCCTAACTAAGTTGAAAGATGCAAGGAGTTTTACTGTGAAAATACAAATTGGTAAGTGATTTTGGATAGTGGGTTATGCAATTTCGGCACAAGTATCAACGTGATGCCTATGTCTATGTAATCTTAAGTTGGGACTAGGAAGGCCCAAGTCACAACCATAATGTTGCAATTAGTTGACCCTTCGGTAGCAAGGCCATATGGCGTTATTAAGGATGTCTTAGTCCATGTAGGAACTATGATATTCCCCGTTGACTTTGTCATCCTAGATTTTGAGCATGACCTAGAGGTTCCATTTATTTTGGGATACCAATTCCTAGAAATATGTGGTGCTTTGATTGATGTGGCGGATGGTAGACTGAAATGAGGGTTCATGACAAAGTAAATGTCTTTGATGAGTACAAGGCAATGAATTTTACTAAAATATATGAGGAGCTGTCAGAAATTACAGTCATTGATGAGGAAACAACATCTAAATATGTTAAAGCCCGAAACCCTTTAAAGAACGTGTTAATTGGGAAGGAAAGTGAGGGGGACGATGAAGCCTGAAATTTTGCTAGCATTATAGATGCTCCAAACGTGAGTATGCTTCGCATGTTTCTGGAACCATTAAATAGAGTCTTGGGACCACTTCCTAAGCCATCAATTTAGGAAGCACTAAAGGTGGATTTAAAGCCTCTCCCCTCTCATCTCATGTGTGCATTTCGCGTTCTAATGAATCGTTATTAGTATTCATTTTCTGCTTTGTCTGAAGTTCAGGCTGAGGCCTCTCTCAAAATATTGAGGAAGTGGGAAAAGGTGATATGTTGGCATATGGTTGACATACATGGCATCAAATCAACTTTATGCATGCACATGATATTGATGGAGGAGGGCCATAAGTCAAGTGTACAACCTCAGAGCAAATTAAACCTAGTGATTAAATCTCTAAATAAGGGTACCATCTACCCGACTTTAGATAGCAAGTGGGTCATCCCAGTTTAGTGTGCACCTAAAAAATTAGGCATGACAATAATCACCAATGAAAATAATGAGTTGATTCAAACTACACAGCTGTAAGGTGTAGGATATGCATGGATTACATGAAATTGAGTGAATCCATCAGAAAGGATCACTACTCTATTCCTTTTATTGATCAAATGCTGGACAGGCTAGCTAGACAAGAATATTGTTATTTCCTAGATGACTATATAGGATACAACCGAATCGTCATTGCACTAGAGGACCAAGAGAAAACCATATTCAATTGTCCGTATGGGACTTATGCCTTCAAACAAATGTTATTTGGGCTATGCAATGCTCCACCCACCTTCCAAAAATACACGACGACCATATTTCAGGATATGTTCGAAGATTTTATGTAGATATTAATGGAGATTTATCATTCTTTGTGGAGTATTTTGACCGGTGTTTGGAGAATTCAGACAAGGGGCTCAATAGATTTGAGGAAACTAGTATCGTCCTAAACTAGGAAAAATGTAATTTCCTAGTGAAGGAAGGAATTATACTGGAACATAAGGTGTCAAAGCGAGAACTGGAAGTTGATCGTGCAAAAGCGGAAGACATAGAAAAGTTCCATCCCCCAATCTCTTTCAAATGGTTGAGATTATTTTGGATCATGTTTGTTTAGTTTTATCTAAGACTGCAAGACCCATGTGTAGTATACTAGAAAAGGATATTAAATTCGTCTTCGATGAGCAGTGCATTCAAGTTTTTCAAGCCTAGAAGAAGAAGTTGAAAGAAGCTCCAATCTTGACTTACCCAAAATTGGGAGCTTCATTTTAAGCTGATGTGTGATGCAAGTGATGTGTCTATAGGATCAGTGTTAGGGAAAAACGAAAAATAAGTGTTCCGCTCAATCTATTATGAAGGAAAAATTGTGGATGCAGCCTTAACCAACTACACAGTTATCAAAAAAGAAATGCTAGCATTGCTCTATGATTTTGAAAAATTTAGATCTTTCGTGGTAGGGAGTAAAGTTGTTGTTTATAGTGTCCATACAACTATCAGAAACCTGTATAATCAGAAGGATACAAAGTTTGGTGGATTATGCTATTGCAAGAGTTTGACATGTAGATCATGGATCGAAGAGGTTCTCAAAATTAGGTTGGGAATCAATTGTCCAGGTGGAGAGTGCGTAACATGTGGGAAAGAAAACTCAGATTCAAGAAAAGATACTTGATGAACAACTATTGGCGCTAGAGGTGACATAACTATCATTGTATGCAGATACTATAAATTATTTGGTGAGCGGATTGTTAGCAGAGGGTGCAACCACACATCAAAAGAGGAGCCTGATTTATGATGCTAGGTCATACATATAAGATGAGACAAGTGATTGAGATTTTCCACTTGTCTTCATATGTTGTCATCATGGAGGTGAGCGCTTTACAGATAAGGCGTTTGTAACAATCTTAAAAATGAACTAGTGAAACTAGATCCTAATGTGTGTGCATTTGTGTTTTATGTGAGGTTTTATGTTGTTCTATATTGACTCAAGACATTATTTAGGTGTTTAGGGCTTTGGAGTTAAGGTACGACTCCCCAATGACCACCCTAAGGGTCCTTGTGAAGGACCCAAAATCAAAACCCCAAGACTCGAAGGAAAATATG